TTGGGCGTGGAGGCTTGAACTCACGAGGGGCGCCAGCTCCTCATGCTTGGAATCAGAGAATCTCTGACTACCTGACTCGTAAGAGGGAACGTAGGCCAACCCCTCATTCTGCGGTGGTGTGGAGAGGGCGTCCAAGGCCACCCTCTGACTAGGGCATTCATTTCCTACCACACCACTCTTTCTGTGGCCCATGTCCTCCAGTGTGTGTGTGGGTTTACCTGAGGGCTCTGAGCCCCCTGCTTGCTGCTGAGTGAGGCTCTAGCTCTTCCCAGATCTTCCCAGGCATATCTCTTGCATCCACATCAGAGCAAGATAGCAAAGCCATTGGGCTCAAATACAAGATGTGTGTTTATGCCAGTGCCTGTGCTTCCACGTGCTCAGAGAGGACTTGATATTTTTGTCAATAATTCTCAGGACATGCCCCATGGCCTCAAGCTGGGCCCAGCTGTGCTCAGTTGACCCCAGGGGTGACTAATGGACATGGGGCCTCTGCAGGTGCTGGTAGGATGGAGGGTAAAACTGAGTGGCCAGTGTTAGCCAGGGGCACCCACGCATCCACCCCTCCTGGGTCTCAGCTGCAGGTGGCGAGAGAGAATGGAGACAGTTGGACTCCTCAGCCAAGCCTGGTGACTCTGCTCAGGGTGCTGAGTTGTGTGGGTGGCGACCTTGGCTTTTGTCTCAAGAGCAGTGTGGCACATGGGTAATTGGAAGGGATGATAACGATTTGTGTCTTTCTAAGGCGGTGATTAAGCAAAAATAACCTCCACTCCTTAGCTGGCAGGAGGAGCCATAGTGAGCTGGGTGGGCCACCAGTCCTTGTGCCAAGACTGGCAGGGGTGCTGGCAGCAGGCGCTGTGGTAGCTGGCCTACCTCAAGCTTGTCACAAAGCGTTGTCACAAAAACAGCTGTGGGCTCCCCCCCATCCCGTGTCTGGGCATGGCAGGGACCAGCCTGAACAGGGTCGTGCAGAAAGGAATGAGCAGGAAGTGGGCCGCCAGCGTGCGGCTCCCCACCACCCAGGGCCCCTGCCAGGAGCTGTCACCAGAGACTCTAGGGAAGCCTCCAGATGCAGAGCCACAAAGCCCAGGCCGGCTGTTCTAGAATTCCCAGAGGTTCTCCGATACGGTTTCCTTGGGGACTGTTAAAAAATGTGCTTCCCAGTGGATGGTGTTGCCCTGAACTCGATCTCCCCCCGGGGACTGGCAACCTAGAGCTGTCTCACAGGCTGTGTGCACCCTGGATCTCCAGTTGCAGTGAGTTTTCATAAAAATACCACACTAACCGTGACAACTGATACAGCCTGTTCTCAGGGACCCACAGTCTGATGGGGAAATAGGTAACCTCACAGCAATAAGCCAGGCCCAGCTCAGCATGCTCTGGGGTACCCCTGTCTGCTGAAGTAGATCTGAGAGGGCTTTTCAGAGGTGGTAACAGCTGAGCATGGTTGCGAAGGACAAGTGAGAATTTGCCGATCTGCAAAGGGACGAAGGGCTTAGCAGGCAGAGGGTTCGGATGGAGCAAGGGCATAGAGGAGTGAAAGCGTTGTGTCTTGTGGGTGAGTCAGAGCCAGTGGCCTCAATTGTTGCGGTGGGAATGTCTGGTTCTTGGAAGAGCAGAGCCCTTGTGGGCAAAGTGCAGGCTGGGGGCCTCTAGGCTGCCTTGCTGCTTGTATGCAGAGGCTTCTGCTAAGACAGGAGACTACCTTTCAGTGGGGCAACTCTGGTCCTGCTAGTCAACTCTCTGGGGACCAGAATCTGGATCTGGCGGGCTAGGTCTCCCCTCTTCCCTGTCCCAGAGCAAAGCGCCTCTGGCTTTTGTTTATTGAAAGGAAGCAAGGGTCCACCCCAAACAGCACGAGGCCAGACTCTTCCCTCTTCTAGGGAAGGGGTAAGGGGTGCCAAGGACAACCCTGCTGGTCCTCCATCCCCACTGAGCCAGGAACTGCCTCAGCAGTATTCGCAGCCAGGATACAGCACTTGTCCGCTGATTTGATGCCCAGAACATCGCGTGGAGCTGCCCACAGGCAGGTTAAGGCTGTGGGTGCTCCTCCGTCTGTGTAATCAATGAGGGTGCAGGATGCAGCCCCCACCTAACAGAGGGCACGGTACCCGGGAAATGGCAGGACCCTCGTGTCTTCCTTCAACTTATTTATAGCCTCGCTATGGCAATTTGTGGCAATCACAGTGCTTAGTCCTGTAATCACACTGCTCGCAGGCTCCCCGGTACAAGTAGGCACCCAGCCCAGTGAGGCCTGGGAGCCTGCCAGGGCTCAGGGAGGACTTGGGGACAGGGCAGGAGAGTGTGGAGGCGGCAATGTCCCCATCAGCCTCTGGCCCCATTTTTTATTTATTAAATATGTTCTTATTGCTTTTAGAGAGGGAGAAAGGGAGAGGGCAGGGTGAGAGAGAGAGAGAGAAACATCGATGAGAGAAATGTTGATCGGCTGCCCCCTGTACACCCCCTGCTGGTGATGGAGCCCACAACCCAGGCATGTGCCCTGACCGGGCATTGAACCGGTGACCTCTTGGTGCATGGGACAGCGCTCAACCAACTGAGCCACACTGGCCGTGGCTGGCCCCATCTTATCATCTGTGGTCTTGTGTCCCCCAATGCACCCTGGATGGCATTAATAATAATAATAATAACAACTAACACATAGTATTTACTACGTTCCAGGTCCCATTCTAAGCCCTTTCTATATGTGAGCTTATTTATAGCCTCACCATCATTCTAGGAGGTGGCTACTATTATTCCCATATTCCAGGTGAGAAAACTGAGGTGCAGCTCACAGTGGTAAGAGCCAAGATTTGAACTCAGGCGTTCCGGCTCCAAAGTCCACAGTTTTGACTGGGTCCCTCCCAGCCCCAGAAGTCAGGGGCCTCCCAGGCTCCACACTGACGAACCCGGCCCTGCCCTGCCGGCTCCTGGTTTCTCCCGGTCCACGTGCCCTACAGCAGCACATGAGGCTGCACACGCAAAGCCGCACTCGGCTTCCCTCCTGGACACTCTCTTTCCTGCTGGCGATCTGGTCCCCGTGGCAGACCTGGGTTTCAGTCTTCGGGGTGTCACATCAATCTGTGCTCCTGTTTCTTCTGCAGAATGTCCACTTCCCCAGGAAGCTGTGGAGGTCAGATGGATGGGGGAGCACTTTGTCAAACATCATCTTCGGTTGAGTGAGGGGCACTCTTAGCTAGGTTCACGTGCCAGCTCGCTTAGTCTTCTCAATTGTGTGGCCACGGGTGAGTGACTTAGGTTGTTTAAGCCTCAGTTTTCTCATCTGTAAAATGGAGTAATAACAAGAGGACCAAAACTCAGAAATTACTTGTGGGGACTAGATGAGATGATACCTGTACAATACATAATGCCTGGGACATATGTACTCACTGAAACGGAGCCATCTTCTATTGTCATTCATTTTAATCCTTTCCCGAGGGCAGGACTCAGGTCTCTCTTCGCCAGGTCCAGGGCAAGTCTATAGGATGTTAGAAATGAGGCATTAGGAAGTGCTGGGCAGAGCCAGGCCTCAGAACAAGTTTTTCCTTTCTCCTCCAAGCCGAAGCCCTCCATCATTTAGGAAATGATTTTCTGTCTGTGTGGGCAGCAGCTCCGAGCTCATAAAGCAGTTACCCTTAGACCAGGGTTGTGTCTGTGAGGACAGACTATTTCAGAAATGTACCTCCCTGCTGAGAAAAGCGTCTCATTTGGAATTCCTTGCAGATGCGCCCCTTCCTGGGGCCAGTAGTGGCCAAGGAGATGTTGACACAGACACACGTTGGCCAGGGCTCCCACCCACACCTGCCCACCTACTACAGGGTGGTCTGCAGAGCCCCTGGGAAGGACCCTTTCCAAATGTGCTTCCTAGGAGGGTGCAACAGGCTCGTGGCAGGGGGTGTGGGCTACGTGAGAAGAAGGAAAGGGCCATCCTTGCCTTGACATGGCTGCTTTAAGAGATGAGTTCCCTGTCATTGAAGGCAAACAAGTGGTTCCCAGTCTAGCTGTGAGGCTCAGTCACACAGAGGAAGTAATATCCGTCTCATGGGGAGATAGAAGAGTCGAGGTCAGCTGGATGGAAGGAAGGATTCCTCACTGTCTCGTGGTGGCAGCACCATTGGGTAGGCAGTGAGGGGGCTGTTGGATGTCTTTGAGGTCTCTGTGCATTCAAGTCCAAAGCAGTGATATTCAGGGATTAGATCAAGGGTCAATAAACTTTTCTTTAAAGGGCCAGACAGTAAATATTTTAGGTTTTGTGGGTTGTAAAGTCTCTGTGCCACATAAGCAGCCACAGATAATACATAAATGAATAGGCATGGCTGCGTTCCAATAAAACTTTATTTACAAAACCCGGCAGTAGGCCAGATTTGGTCTATGAGTGTACTGTCTGTGTTGGAGGAAGGAGAGCTCGGGAGGGTTGGATGCCAAGAAGCACTTCCTGAAGGTGGAGGCGTTGAGCCCAGGCAGCTGAGAGAAGCAAGGAGAGCATTTCTGGCAGCCGGCTGGCTTCACCCCAAAGCTAAGGGTGAAGAGTGGTGATGAGTGTGGCCCCAGATGCTGGCCTTGCCTCTCTGAGGGTCCACCTTCCCCTGCGTGGGGTTCCCATAACTTAAGGCCTTGCTAGCTCTCTGATAGCTTCAAACATATTTAGTTGTGTTATGTTTTTTGTATTATTTTTAAAATCCAGCAACTGCGGTTGTTTTCAGAAGGATGCCTGGCCCAAATTTCTCTCAATTACTGGAAGTTGAAGCCATCAACAACCCTTATACTGTTGCTGTTGTTATTAGTGAAGGAAAGCAGGGTAGTTCCTTTCCAAGGTGACTCTGCTGGCCACGGGGACAGCGCCCCGATGGCCTCTCTTCCTTTGTTTAGGAGGAGAGGGTTTTGTGTTGTATTGAGTTCAGAGGCAAGGGGCTGGCCAGGGTGACTCCCTAGCTCTGACCCTATCATTCCGCTGGCCATAGGCCCATGCCTCATGCCAGCTGAGCTCCCCTCTGTTCCTGCCACAGGAGAACTGTACCGGGTTTCCTTGAGAAGACAGAAGTTCCCAGCCCAGGGAAGCATTGAGATCCACGAAGACAATGAGGTACGCTGAGTGTCTGAGCGGTCTGGGCCCACCTCTGCAGTCAGGATTTTAGGAAGAGCCCTGCGCAGACAGGCTGCCCTAGTTTCCATCCAGCTCCTCATTTGACTTGCTGTGTGACCCTGGGCAGCATCCTATCCTTCTCGGGGCTTCTGGCTCCCATATGGACAAGAAGGGCCTCTTGGGACTCTTTCTACCCTGACATTGAGGGGCTTGCCCTCCTGGCAACCCGTGCCCCTCACTCTGAATGCACAGGAGGTCCCATCATATGGGGGGCTGGAGAGGTCCCCGACTTGGAGCTGAGACAGGCTGGGCACAGTGCCTGCTTCTCTGGCTACAGCTGGTGTGCGTGTGTGTGATTCACTGTGTTACCCCTCCTCCACCCTATCTCCCTGCTGCCTGTTTCTCTGTTGCCACTGCTGTCCCTTTCAGGAAGTCTGCTCACAGCGCTCCTGCAAGACCCAAGTCCTCCTGCTGGTGCTGCACGGGGGGAACGTCCTGGACACAGGCTCAGGGGACCCATCCTGTAAGGCAGCCGACATCCACACCTTCAGCTCCGTGCTGGAGAAGGTCACACGCGCCCACTTCCCTGCAGCCCTGGGCCACATCCTCATCAAGTTTGTCCCCTGTCCTGCCATCTGCTCTGAGGCTTTCTCACTGGTCTCCAAGTGAGTCCCTTTCTGCTTGTTGGGGCTAGCTGGCTCTGATGGGGGGGGGGACTAAGCAAAGGGGCTGCCCCTGCCATGTGGATACCAGCTGGGCGGGGAGCTACCTGCCCAGGCCTCTCTGAGATGTCAGGTCTTGACCAACCACGAGCATCACTAGGGGTAAGTGGTTAGCGGAGTTCAAAACAATTAGCACTGTCCTTCTCTGCCTGGGACCAGGCGGTGCCGGGCCCCCGTGGCAGCTCAGGTCCCCTTCCTGTGCTCAACAGGCCCTGGGCTGATGGCCCAGGTAAGGAAGCTGAGGCAGAGAGGTTAAGCAATGCAGTTTTCCCCAGAGTTACCCAGTGAAAGGGGCCAGGAGTCAAACCCAGGCAGCCTCACTCCCAGGCCACATAATTAGAGCCCAGTAGGGATGTGAACTTCAATGGAGGTAGCACAGGGCAGTGAGGACCCTCAGGAAGAGGGCCAGGGAGGCTTCCCGGAGGAGGTGACTTTGGCGTGCGCTGAGAGTAGTATAACATGGTTAAATGTGTGGGCTCTTTGGTCAGCCTGGATTTGAGTTCCGGCTGTGTGGCCTGGGGGAAGTTATTTAGCTTCTCACTGTCTGCTTCCTCTCCTATAAAATGGGGAGGCTCAGGAGAATAACCACTTTCCAGAGATTTTTGAGGATTCTGTGTGCTGGCATGTGCGAAGCAGCTAGTGTAGTGTGGGGCGCAGAAAGCGCATGGTGGGGATGCCCCGTGACTTACATCATAGTCCTCCCGCAGAGAACGCGCTCTCTCCATCAGTGGACAGGGCCGGGGTGGCAGGGATGAGGCAGCATGCTCACCAGGCCTGGGTCCCCATGGGGGATTAACAGGGAGACCAGGGGTCCCACCAGGACCAGAGGGCTCTGTTTCCCAGGTCCCTGCCCTGTTGAAATAGCCGGGAACCAGGTCAGAGCCCTGGCTACTCGCAGATAACATGGGCACAGAAGACCTGAGCACCTGCCGAGCACCCTTCTAATAAAGCATCCCGCAAATTGTGGTGACAGGAAGCCGGGAGCTTTCTGCAGTTAGGGAGGAACGGTGGGCAGGGACACCTCTATCTTGCCCCTCGCCCCCTGTCACGTCAACTGTACCAGAACCTGAGGTTTCACAGAGAGGAGCCCTTTACCCCTCTAGGGCTTGGGGAGGGTGGACAGGGCCTCCCAGCCCCTCAATCATGTGTGGCCTGGAACAGGCTCAGCAGCGCTGGGAGGGGCAGGAGGCCAGTGCCCAGCGTCCTGCTGTTGGGAGAGCATGTGTGCAGGGCTTCGATTTTCTGGTTTATGAGAGAAAGGAAAGTTGGCTTCTGTGTAGGGGGCAGAGACCTGTCTGATTTATCTGTGCTCCAGGACATGGGCAGGGCCGATCTCAATCAGAGTTGGAGGGAAGGAAGGAGATTAGGTCAATAGTTCCCCAACCTGGCCGAGGGCCCAAATGCCGTGAGATTCTTGTTAAACCTCGAGGCGGCAGGCCTCACCCCCAGGGTGCCTGAATCTGGCAGAGAGGGCCCTGGAATCTGCTTTTTCATCAGTCATCTGCTCTGTGTCTGCTCTGCTGCCTGGATTTGAAGAGCTGAGCTGACACGGCTTCATTCCCTTCACACTCCAACAGTTGGAGTTAATTGGGCTCATTCATAATCAATCTCAGGATCCCCCCAACCCCCTCACCCCCAGGACATCTAACCCCCAGAGCTGGGTCACCCAGCCCAGGCCTGATCACTGGGAAGATGGATGGTCTGGCCACTTGAGGGGACAGTGAGAGGGAGCATACCTCTCCCCCAGGCAGCGCCTTGCCAGGCCATCCATCAGCCCTAATCACTGCTGGGAGGGAGCTCTTTCTAGCTAATTAAAATCTCTCCGACTGCAATTGAGGCCTGTTTCCTCTAATTTGTGTTCTTTGGAGATGAGGAATGATTGTTAGGCCCGCCTTGCATACCATGAGGTCTCTGTCACCTGCTCAGGGTCTCTGAGCCCTGTAACCTGCTCCCAGTTTCAACCTCAATCAGCCTGAACTTAGGCTATGAGGAAAGGGCAGGCTCTGGGTAGTGGCTGGGCAACCTCTCCCCCTGTGGTCCCTCCAGGTCACCTGGGCTGGTGCCCCAGGGGACAGAGGCTGTACAGGTGGGATAGGGTGGGGAAAGGGTCAGGCAGCTAGGAGCTGGGCCCAGATGGGTCTGAGCCACCCAGTGGGGAGGCAGGGAAGTGAGAGGGGGCCCATGCAGGGGTCAGACAACCCACTGGCAGTGGGGATGCGATAGGGCAGGCTCTCCTCTCCCTTCCCGGGTCATAGATCTGCCTGCAAATCCTATGAAGGATCCTTGTCCCAGAATGATGGACACACTATTGAGCATACAGCTATGTGCCCACCCCAAGCTGCGGCATGCCTGGCATACCTTCTCTCCTCCTTTCTACTTTCCCTAAAGCCTAGTTCAAACCTTGCCTTCTCTAGGAAGTCTGCTGTGATGATATGTCCCCACCCTGACCGACACCAGTGGCTTCTTCCACGATTGGGGTGTTCTTTGGTGCCATGCAGAATAGGGCAGGAGAGAGCTGCTGTTACAAGAGACTCTGGGGCCCACATCATGGGCTGATGGGGGGGTCAGCACAGGCTCGGCTCACTCACCCACACTCCTGCCCCATTGCCTGCACTTTCTCTTGAAGAGCCAGGAGTGGCGGGCCCAGTTCCTGGCCAGCACATGCTCTCTTCTGCCCAGTCTAAAGCCTCAAACCCTCCCCCGTGCCTGGTTCCCCACTGGGCTTACCTTGGTCCCCTGTCTGCAGCCTGAATCCCTACAGCCACGATGAGGGCTGTCTCAGCAACAGCCAGGACCACGTCCCTCTGGCCGTGCTGCCCCTGTTGGCCATCTCCTCCCCACAGTACCAGGATGCGGTGGCCACCGTCATCGAGCAAGCCAACCAGGTCTACGCAGAGTTCCTCAAGTCCCCTGATGGCATTGGTTTCAGTGGGCAGGTAGGACAGCCTGTGCCCACTTCCCTGCCTTGGCCCACCTGGAAAAGAGCTTGAATCTGCCCAAAGGATCCAGACCAGGCTGTTCAGGAGCCATAGTTTCTGAAGTCCAAGGAGCCTTTTGAGATCTTTGGGCTTGACCTCATTTTACAGAATGAGGTCAACATCTGAGTTCTGATTGTGAGCCCGTGCTGATCCCTGGTCCAAGTCTGATCCCTGACCCCAGCCAGATTCCTATCCTCAGGCTCACCCTGCCTAAATTTGACTCCCGACTCCAGCCTGGCTCCTGTTCTCAGGCCTACCTGGCCTAAATTTGACCCCTGTCCTTAGGCTGACCCTGGCCTCTGACCCCTGACCCTAACCTGGTCCTGTCCTCAGGCTGACCTTTGGACCAGAATGAGCACCCTTCTCCAGGCTTCCCTGGGACAGGTTCCTTGTTATCCAGGTGACCTGCACTCTGGATGGGTGTGGGGGTAAGGGGTCATCAGTGGCCAGGCCTGTAGTCTCAGCTGTGCCTTCTGCAGGTGTGTCTCATCGGGGACTGTGTGGGGGGCCTCCTGGCCTTCGATGCCATCTGCTACAGTGCGGGGCCCTCGGGTGACAGCCCTGGCAGCAGCAGCCGGAAGGGGAGCACCAGCAGCACACAGGTGCGGGCCAGAGGGTGGGAATGGTGGAGGGGTCTGTCCTGGGGAGCAGGGGCCTCTCTGAGGGCAGTAGTGTTACCCTTGACGTGTGTACCATGAAACCTAGGTTATAAAGTACGTATTGTATCCCAGTCTTACAAAAGTAGCAAGAGATTACTACCATAGGCAAGGAAACTGAGGCCCAGAGTGGGCTAATTTAGGGTTGGGTCCCTAGGTAGCTGCCCAAAGTCACCTTAAATTGCTAATCCCTTTGGATGCGGGAGACAGCCCTGTGACTAAAGTCCCACCACTACTGCATGGTGGCTTTCGTGATCCTTTTGGAAGACGTACTGCCTCTCAAGTCTAGGAGAAAAGGGTTCCTTGTGCCTGGGGGAGGAGGCAGGGCCCCAGAGTCTCCAGTGACTGCAGCACCCTCCTGTCCTCTCTTGGTCCCAAAGGACACCCCAGTGGCAGAGGAGGAGTGCAGTCTGGCCAGCAGCAAGCGGCTCAGCAAAAGCAGCATTGACATCTCTAGCGCGTTGGAAGATGAGGAGCCCAAGAGGCCGTTGCCACGGAAACAGAGCGATTCCTCTACCTATGACTGCGAGGCCATCACCCAGCATCACGCCTTCCTATCAAGGTGACCGCTCCCTGTGCCCTGCCTTCCTTCCGGCAAAGCGTCCAGGGCAGAGAGCGCCTTGACTTAGAATCAGATGGGTGGCTTAGGACCAGTCATATGACCCAGGTCTTTCCATGGGGGCCCAGGGACAAGCGCTGAGACCAAGGCCACTCCCCATGGACCCTGGGCTGAGACCCTGGACCCTGCACTCCGCCTCTGCTCCACTCCAACTTTCAGAGAGAGGGGACAACCAGTCTCACATGCCTGAGCCTCAGTTTCATCTTCTGCAAATTGGTAAATGCTGCCCAGCCTACATTTCTGATGGTTTTAAGAATCTGGTGAAAGAAAAGATCATTGTAAGTGTGTTTTGTGAGCGACTTCAGGTGTGTGTTCTTCCTATTTCAGAACTTTCCTGGGATCACACAGCCAGTGACTGAAGAGCTGGACTCAGCACTCTGGCTTCCCAATCCCCAGCACACAACACACTTTTCCATGTAGGCCGTGCAGGGCTCTCCACAGAACTGTGCACCCTCTAACCTTCTAGAAGAGTCATGTTCCTCAACACTGGCTAACCGAATTATCTGCACATTTATTCAGGATACAAGTGGGTACAGAGCACAGACCCAAACCTGGAGGAGCGCCTCTTCCTTCCTCCCTTTCTGCTCCATTCCTTCCTCCGTCTCTCCTCCCTTGTTTCTTATACAAGTGAGAAGTAGCAGGAGGTCAGTTCAGCATTTGGAAAATAGACCATCTCACCACCCAGAGGGAACCGCTGCTAATGCTTTGGGGTGATTTTCTTTCAGCATATTTTTGTACATGCTTTGCATTGAGTTTTACTTAAAAAAACACAAACACACCACCCCTTATACTGTGATCTTTTCCCCCATATAATTAAAAATATTTGATAGATATTCTTAATAATATTTTATTGAGTAAATGGACACATTTCCTTAATCACAGTCATTGGACACTTTGGCTTTTTCCAGTTCTTCAAAATTATAAATAGCGCCCTGGTGATGACCTTTGTGCATAAACATCTATGTACATATTAGGGTTATTTTATTCGCATGGATTCCTAGAGGAGGAATTATTAGGTCAAAGGCTCTGCATAGTTAAATCTCTGGCTATTTAAAGCCCCTCTGACAGATGATTCTTTAGAAAAGCGATTATTTTTCAAGTCTGGGTTGCAAAGTAAAATCTCCACATTTCTAGTTCATCCTTGAAAAATCCTTTAAGAAAGCCCCAAATCTGGAGAGTGACAAGAAGCCGAAGGCTTTCAGTAGCTGGTCCAACACAGGCAGCTTTCCCTCTGGTGCAGGGACAGATGGCTGTTTCTTTGGCAATTAAGTAGTTGGCGTGTGGTTAGGGACCATGCTGTACATGAAATATGTATTGTTAAACACCAGCGTCATCGTTCTCACAGGGAGATGCTCATGCCACGAGAAGCAGAGGCGTGTGGCATGCAGGACCCTCGTTCACATGCTGCTTCAATCGTGATCCCTAAAATCCCCTTTCTTCTCTGACTGGAGTATGTTGGTTGAATCTGCATTCAGTTAATTGATTCATCAATCATATAACCCCACCAGATTGTCTTAAACTCAAAGCTGTACTCAAATGCCAGCGGGAAGGCCAGGGAGGGCCCCGGTTTTCCTGCCCATCCTGGGCAGCCTGCTCAAGGCCTGTGGCTAAACATCAACTTGAACTCTTTGGGGGAAGTGAGTGCCCGGGATGCAAATGATTGAATTCTGTGTCTTGTCATTTTCTCTCTAAGCTCTGCTTCATCTGCAGGCTGGAGGGGAGGGAAGACCAAGCTGTGTGCATCTGTGTCTGCAGGTTGCCTAGAACATGAGTTATAGCGAAAGCCCTAGTCCTGGCAGGACTGACATCAGCCAGCTGGTCTGTATATTGGCCAGCTGGGCTTCCCTAGTAGATGGTGCAGGAACTCGCCTTGTGGCCATCACAAAACCAGCACGATGGGGCAGGCCTGCCAGTGCGTAGGAGGCTTAGGTGTTCTCAGGGTCTTGGCTGGTTTTAGTGCATCAGGTTTCACTGGCCACATGCATTTGTTTAGGTGCCACCTACGGCTGCTTGCACGCTACACGGCGGAGTGAAATAGATGTGATGGAGACCATATGGTCCTCAAAGTCTAAAATACTTACCATCTGGCCCTTTACGGAAAAAGTTGGCTGATGACCCCTGCCTTAGCTAAGTGGTGGCCAGGCCTCAGTGGCCAGTGCTGAGATGGTTGCCAACTTGTGTTGATGGCGTCCAATGAGTGGACTCTGGTTCCGGGCACTGCCCCAGAGATGGAGGGCTGGGCTCTCCACACCCAGACTTCAACTGTCCTGCTAAGTGAGTGCTTCACTCTAACCCTAACCTCATTTCTCTTCCCCCCCACCCCCCGGCAGCATCCACTCGAACATGATGAAGGATGAGGTGGAGCTCCCTGTGGCAGGGGCATCCCAGCTCCCGGAGGTCAGCCTGGGCCGGTTGGACTTCGACGTGTCTGACTTCTTTCTCTTTGGCTCGCCCCTCGGCCTGGTCCTGGCCATGCGGAGGACGGTGCTGCCTGGGCTGGACGGTGAGTGTCGCACGGTCTGGGGGCTGAGAGGCCTTTGTGTCACTAGCCCACTGTGTCAGGTCCTCAAATTGGGGAGAGTGGGGGGTGGGGG